TTCGATGCTGCTAGACCATCCGTCCATCCAGAAAAGAACTTTCCCTGGGACGATCTTTTCGTCAGCGAGGTCCAGAGAGCTTTCTACGCCTGTAAAGTGTTCTTCTTCTACCCCGTTTACTGGTTGACGTACGGCCAAATGTCCAATAACTTCGTTTCCATGGCTGGCGATATGGATACCCACAAACTCCCCAACGACGTTTTGCAGGCCATCAACCCCATCACCATCATTATCTTCATCCCCATTTGCGAGCGTTTCGTGTACCCCTTCATCAGGAGATTCACGCCGTTCAGAGCCATCACCAAGATTTTCTGGGGTTTCATGTTTGGAACCGCTTCCATGGTTTACGCTGCTGTTTTGCAACACTACATCTACCAGGCTGGACCCTGCTACGACGACCCCATGGGCTGTGCTCCCGAGTACAAAAACGTGCCCAACAACATCCACATTGCTCTTCAAACACCGGCTTATTTCTTGATGGGTATGTCTGAGATTTTCGCTTCTATTACTGGATTGGAGTACGCTTACACCAAGGCGCCAGTGCTGATGAAATCGTTTATTATGTCGATTTTCCTTGTCCAGAATGCTTTCGGATCGGCGCTAGGAATTGCTCTTTCGCCTGTGTCCAGAAACCCCAAGATGGTGTGGAATTACACCGGTTTGGCTGTGGCGTGTTTTATTTCTGGAATTGTGTTCTGGTTCTTGTTCAAGCACTATAATCAGCGTGAGGACGAATGGAACAATTTGGAGTACGAGCACGAGGAGAGGGCCAAGGAGGCTAGTGAAGGTAAGGTGGAGCCGATCGAGCCTGTGGCGTCGCTCACTGTTTCTTATAGAGATTTGCGTTAGCGGTTTAATAGAGATAGGTCAAAGGAGGTGTAGGCGATTCGACTACTAGGTTACCGAGTAAAGGGGAAGTTTTGGAAGGAGGAGATGGAGCATGGCAAGACAATTTGCTGAAGTTAATGAAAGCTGAGTTGGAGTCAATTGGGAATGAAAGAGTAGTTGTGACGCAGAACCAATGGAAACGAAGGTCTGGAAAATGCTGCATTTGCTTTGTGGTAAATTGGTGGTTTGGATGACTGGAGATGAAACTTTTGAAATGCTTGCATTAAACTAAATCTTTCTTATCAGTCAATCACTAACAGCAATCAGATGGTTGTTTTGTTGGTATTCTGTTGGTTCTTCAAGTGCTGGTGTCAAGGAGAACAGATATTAGAGCCATGATAGACGGACTGGCTTTGCTATAGATTCGAAGACATGGATGCTTGTCAAAGACATGGATATTTGCCAAAGACATGGATAATTGTTAGGCTTTTGAAAGAATCGTTGTGCCTAGTGTGTTGTATCAGGAATCACTGGAATGAGCCAGCTTAATGGCAATGGTCTATCACAATCTGCTTCTTCCTTAAGGGTTAATATCTTAGACCAAAGTAATTCTGAAATGGTCTTGAAATTCACTGGAAGATGGCCTGCTGAATTTTGAGAGCAGTCATTTTGTGCCTAGCCAGATTTCAGGGGGTCGAACGGGTAAAGTTGAAACCTTACTCCCAACAAAACACGGTCGAGCAGACTTCCAAAGTAGCACAAACTGAAGAAAATATAAGAGTCAGCAACAAAGCAATGATCGGCTGAACTGGATGGCAAAATTTCGGCCTGTGTTCTACGTTTTGGGCACTTCTTCCTACACCACCTTCTCACCATAATCACCAAAACCACCAAAACCAAAACCACCAATTCCACCAAACCCGCCAACTCCCCGGGGCCTACAAAAATAGAAACCGCTCGGTTGACGTCACGGCGGTGCCAAACACTCCGAATTGCGCTTGACACGTTGACTTGCTTCTTCGAAAGCGCCATTCCGAGACTGTGGGGATGAGAAACTCCAGCCGGGACGAGGTTCCACAGAAGCAAGCCGCCTGAAATTTGTTTTGACAAGGGTTTTTCAACAAACGTGCTTTTTTGAACAAACGTGCTTTTTCAAATAAAGCAGGCTCTACAAACCAGCTATTTATCGAATAATGGAAAACACAGACGTCCTCACCTTCCACGGATTCGGCAATTTTCAACGGAATCGAGCAAACCTCACCCCGAAACACGCTCTTCCAAACCCTACACTCTTCCAAACGAGGCCCCCTCTCCAGGCTTCCACCCCTCCAGAATCCCTCTTTACCCCATTCGATCACGCTAAATGCTCCCACCGAAGAAGCCACAAAGTGAGTCATTTGCGCTCCATCATTATCTTCAACTTGATTGTTCCACCCTTTCTCCAAACCACCCTTGGCTTCCACCAAACCTTGGCTGCCTTAATTCTCGTATTTCACTTTCAGCATATTCTCTTCCCCGGTCATCCCCTGACAACGCTCCCTTCATCACACTTTTCGTCTCTACAGATACGATCCCCCCAATGCTGACCGTAAGCCCCTGTTCCTCGAGTCATCGCTGCAGAACAATGAAACTTTCCCACTAACGGTAACCTCCAAACAATGGGGACAAGAGCAGATTTCCCAGCAGCAGCATGCTACCACTCTTGGTCCTTCACGGGGGAGATACAAGGTATTACGGTAGCTTTGTACAATGCCTGTCAGGACCCCAAGAGAAGCTCGTAAATGGAGGGTCTGGATCGGGTGGTTTTTTTGCTAATCCATTCTCCGTTTTCTAGGCCTTTGCAGCCATGGAGGGGCACTGCGGGGTGGGGAAGGATCTCCGCTGATTTACGAGCTGCGGGCGAGCGGCTCAGGCAGCCTTGTACGGTGGATAATAAAAAGAAGCCAAACAATGCAAAATCTACAAACTCCGTTGCAAGCGGCTAAGGCCCGCAGCTTCCAGATCTATGGTGGAGTTGGATGCGATGGGGCCGCCGTGGGGGGTCACATGCAAGGAGCTTAAAGAGAGGCAGCCCCGCTGTTATCCCGGGGGTGGCTTAGGTGCGCTGCTGACACCGCAGACAGATTTTTGAGAGAGGTAGCACAAAAACACCCGTGCACCACAACGGTCCGACGGATGCCCGGCACTCCCCATGTCTCGGCTGTTCTCGGTTATTGGCCATTGTCCATTGTGTGTGACAGCGGGGCACCTGTTAGAGAGATGGTGAAGATTTTAGAGATTTTAAAGACTTTAAAGATTTGTTGAAAAAGGCAAAATGAAATTCACCGTTGTGGCGTTGCATGCACCCGGGCCCGGGTCTGGAGGGTACTTGCTTCCACGGCAGATGCGCAAAACAGCCTGATGGTGCAGATGGCTTACAGCCTTTGCCTCAGATGGCCTTACAGATGGCCTTAGTTGGAAATATCGTCAAATCTCCAGAATGAAAAACCTTCCCCTATCACAACCACCACAATCGGATGGTTCGAGGCCGCTCCAGGCAGGACAAGGCGAGACCCCATCGCCGTTCCAGTACCTCATCTCCAAGCAGAAATTTTCACTTTTTGGTTTTTCACTTTTTCGTCTCCGTTTTCTCATTGTAGTGCCAATTTTCCAATCGCCGCTCGGTTTTGCCCATCTCGACCCGCCACGATCTGCGTGGACCTCCACTTGACGTGGTGACCCACCGGATACGAGCAAAAAAAAAAAAAAACCGTGGTATCTCCAGCTCCGAGCCCGACCTGGAACCGAACCCTCGGGCCTCGGCGGCGAATTCCGAGCCCACGTCCAGCCTAAGAAAAAACCGATTGTAAAAAAAACGATTGTAAAAAAGCCGATTGTAGTGTGGAATTTCTAGGCCAAGCAACCCTCCAGGCTGAGCGGTGGAGGTGCATTGAGCAGTTACAATTGAGTTGATGGTGATTCTGGTGAATTGGCGACTTGATGAAATTACTGATTTTGATGATAATCCAAAGACCGCTGGGTTCTGGAAAACGCAATTCCGTTCGAACGGCGCTGTGGAAAGCCGTTTACGAACTCACACGATGCGCCCCACCAGAGTCAGCGGACAAACACATCCACAGGATTCCAGGCATTGTCCACGAAGCGATGTGTAGTTTTATAGAATTGTAGAATTATGAAATTTACGTCTCATTCTGAGATACTACTGTGGGAAGCAATGCAAGCAACCAATGGAAGCAATGCATTGGAATCACTGACAGCATATTTTTCACCTTCACCTCTATCCAAAAACCCACCACATGAATTTCATCCTACGGACCCACTTTGGCAATTGCACATTCCCTTAACCTGCTTCCTTTTCCCGCTGCCCCTCAGAACCTAAAAGGGGCCCCACCACCTGGTTGCATTGAAAGTTGCGTTGTTGCTCGTTGACTGGAACCACCTCCCTCCACCCCACCTGCTATTATCCCATGTGCCTCACCCTTCATTGCGCCGCGTTCCTCCATTTTCTTATCGGCGGAGGTTTTCTTGTGTCATGCAGTGCCAAGGCGACAAGAAATGGGAACAAGAACAAAAACTCTGTAGCTTGCACTTTCGTGAATCGTAGTACTAGAGAGAGTCAAGGCCACCCGCCCCGCCGAGTGGCCCCGCTGGGGGTCCCCCACATTCGCTTGTCAATGCACCCCAGAAAGCATCTTGCATACGGACCAACGGAGTAGGCCACCCACCCCGCGGCGCACGCCGGGGCAGCTGCCCCATTAGGGGGATAAAGACCCGTACACCAAGCCTTTAGAGTGCTGCCTCTCAAGAGACGGGCCTGCCCCGCCATGACGATGCGAGCTACCCCAAACGCATATGCACGCCATGCAGCACCAATTGAGATCAGAGTCTATGCAGGTCCTGCACACGGCCCACATCTGCCGGTCGTAATTTGACATTCCCCAGCCCATATAACGCCCTCCTTCCGCCGATGTGTGAATCGCTACTACAAAAAGGCCAGGTGCCCAAAAAACATCCCCCTGTATTACTAGACCACGCTGTGCCCCCCACAAGCGCTGCCCCCACCTTCCACGTATCCGTTGCCCCCCCCCCCCCCCCACCCCACCACAAATTTCCCACAAAACCCCACCAACACCCCAAACACCATCACCAAAATCCCATAACCACAACCAGGCATGCCCGCCGCTAAAAAATACGTCTGTGCCTTCTGTGCACGTGCCTTCACCCGGCTGGAACACAAACAACGCCACGAACGCTCCCACACAAACGAAAAACCCTTCCACTGCCTCTATTGCACCTCAGCCTTCGTCAGAAGAGACCTCCTCCAAAGGCACTGCCGGACAGTGCACAACATCAAGCTCGTGTCCCGCTCAAAACGGGAAAAGAGAGATTCCCTCAAAGAAGACGAGGCGCCTGAGCCGCTCAACGGAAAAATCTCCCATCCTCCTCCTTTGGCACCTCCACTAGTCCATGCTCCAGCAAAACCGGTCGAACTCCGATCACCCAATCAGGATATCCATGTGACCCCCACGGGGCCGGCTCCTCAAAGAGCTCCAACGCTTCTGCCCGGCTCGGCGGCTCCCTTGACATCTTTACGACTTCTGCATCCCCAAACCTCCCAGGACCCACTCCACCTTCTTTCCATATCCAAAAACTTGTCCAATGTTTACGATTCGGCAGACACGCGGTACCCGTGCCACGACATGTTTCTTGTGGGCCACTCTGTGCTTTCGCTGGAGAGATATGCCATTTTCGCCAATTCGCTAGCGCTGCTCATTGACCAGCTCCACAACTTCTCCGGCCTGTCCTTGTCGGATTTCCGCTTGGGCCAGGTTTACTCGATTTTGGCCGTTGGGGCGCTTTCCATGCCTCTGAAGGATTACGACCCGGAAGAGCTCGCCACGAGTTTCATCAATAAACTGTGGAACATCGTGGTGGATAAGCTCAATTCGGCACACTCCTCCTTGCCAGCTCAGTGTGACGTGCTCAAAAACTTGTTTTTGCTCACGTATATTTATTTGCGTTTCTTCAACAACGACCTCATGGTGTCGTACCTCGAGGACCTGGCTCACATCATCTTGCAGAACCTCGCCAGTCTGCCCAGCGACGCAGAGTTGGTTTCTCAGAATCTCGAGCTTTTCTGGTCCATTTACGTGCTTGTGCTGAAGTACAAGGCCAACGAGGCGCCGCCAAAGTTCTACTCGTGGTTTTTGGCTTCAAAGTTGCACAGAGATTCTCCCGTCACCTTGGCTCAGGCAGTCAAGGCGTACCTGATCCAGCTGTTGCCGCTCCAGGACCCGCTTTTGCTTGAAGTGGTGATTTGCACGCTTTCCAACGAGGTCAACAACCTCATTTTCAACAAATCCTTGTGGCTCTTTGATCTGCTCAATTCCTTGCATAACGCCATTGTGCTTGCCAATAAGTCCATGGTCTTGTCTGCTCCAGATACGTCGATGGACATTTTCAATGTTTTCCGTTCGAAATTGGTCTTGGGTGCTGCTCCAACATACGAGGAGCTTTTGCAAGCTCATGTCTTCAAAATCAGCGAGCCTCACCACTGGAACATGCTTCTCTTGACCTTGCGGGAGTTCAACGCTCCGTTCAGCTTCAACAACTTCATGCGTGAAAACTTGATGCTGTCGTTCCAGAACTTTGGCAACAGCTTGCTTGGATTTTTCACTTTTGAGCTGCAAACGCCTCCTCCCTCCATGAACTCCTACGAGAACTTGGGCATCATCAGTTTCCCGCTTATCTTCCAGTACAACTTCCTTCGTTTGAACAACGTGGAGCCACCGTTCCAAATCAAGAACCTCAGCATTGTCGATCTCGCCAACTTGAACAACTTGATTTTGGAGTGGTACATCACAATTGTCAAGGTCATGGTCACTCTCATCACCAAAAGATCTGCTGCTGAAGCCGAGGAGGTGGTGAGAAAGAGCAACGTGCTTTCGTGCTTGTTCTACATGATCAACAGCAACTGTGCCTCCACACCAGCGTTTGCCTCGACCGAGTTTTATTTGCAAGTATTCGAGGAGCTCACCAAGATCTGCGACACCTGGTTCAACTTCATCAACAAGAGCGCCAACTTGCACAACTTGCGCATGAACTTGAACCGTTTCCTCAACGACTTGGTGGTGTTGGCCTTGAACAACGACAGCATCTCGCTAGGCGACTTGTACGTGGCCAACGAGTCCATCCTTATTCGCAACAGAAGATCCAAGTCCATTGGTTCCATGGATTCCACTCCTTCCAATCGCTCATCACTTTCCTCCTCATTCCCACCGCCCGTGCCATCTCACAGAGGCAGTTCCACTAATTACGTCTTGATGAACAAGCCCGAAAACGACGCCGGTTCGCCCCAGCCCTTGTATTCGACACAAATGTCGCCTTCGTCGCTGCTTGCACCTCTCCAAGGGGTCACCAAGCTCAATTTTCTGTCTCCAGCTGGCCCTAGAGTACAGAAGCCATTGGCACAGCCTATGAACTCCCCACCGGTTCCGCCCTCCAGCACTTATGTGCTTCCTCCTATTTATGCCGCCGTGAAAGACCACGCTAAGCCCGAGGGCATGAAGTGAACCATATAGTAATGAACGCACGACTAAAGCTTTGCTTCTCTTTCGAAGATGTTGACATGCGAGCTCTCGAGGTTCCATGTTTTGACCACTTCGTCGCTGAGCATGATGGTATTGTCTTTTCTTGTTTCGTCGACTCTGCTTTTGTAGCATTCGAAAACAAGCTCCAGAGGGATGCACAAGCAGAACAGCGGCACCTTCTCGGATTTGATATCCTCGTATTGTAGACCTGAAACAGAAGGCACAAAGACCTGGGCATTGCTGCTGACGATGCCAATTAAACGTCCTTTTGAATCGAATATTCCGCCTCCAGAGGAGCCATTCCAGCACTGTGAGGATGCCACTAGCATGCACGGAATTTGGGGATACTCAGATCTGTACGGATTGTGATTTGTCACCGAACAAAGATGGCCTTTGGACACGATGGGGTCGAGGAAACTGTCATTAAGGAGAAGCCCGTGCCCAACAGTAAACACCTCGTCGGCAATATTCTGTTCTGATGCAAAGCCAATGGGTGCACATTTGATGTGATCCAAGGCAAGCTGGTTTTTCTCCGACAAGTGAATAAACGCCAAATCTAGATCCACAAACGGCACCACCACGCTGTTTCTGCTTTCCAAAACAAGCGAGTGGTCCTTACCCAAGACTATGCTGCAGACAACGGTATCCAGCCGTATGAAGGGCTTGATAACGTGATAGTTGGTCACCAAGGTATCCTTTTTGAGCTTGACACAGGAGCCCCACGAGAACGGGTGGCCGTGCTGGGAGATAACGAGGGGAAGCACGGGATGTGATTTTGTGAGTGTTGACAGTGCCGTTTCTGTCTTTTTCGGGTATGCTTTCGAGTCCACATCGTCAATTCCAAGCAGCAGAAGGAGCCTGTCCCACGGCGCTATCACCATCAAATCGCCGTCGCCGTTGAGCTTTCTCAAGTTGCCTATTAGAAGGCCCACGGCTCCTCCAGATGCAGCATTGACCAAGGCTCCACACATGTTTTCAAGGTACTTCATGTCGCTAAGGAAGCCCCTTCCCACGCCGCCAGAATCTCTAATTACAGCGTTGACGTGGCCTGTAGAAACAAAGTCCGTAAAGAGCGCAGGACCCGTGAAGTTGAAAGGCAGCGATCTGACGGAAATCAGCGATAGTTCAGCCACCTTGTCCACGGTAAAATCGTAAAAGTGTTCATCCGAAATCTCCTCGTGAATCGCCCGGCAATGCACTACCGCCACGTTCAACGCCTGAAGCAGGTTCCCCACATGAGTATCTAGCGGGATCAAGTTGAAGCCGTTCTTCATGGCGTATTCAAGGTACTCCTTCAACGGGTCCTTTTCGGACAAGACCGGAGCCGTTTTCCCGAGAAACCCCTGGCACCACCGGACCTCGTTATTCTGCATTAGCGGCTTGCACGAAACGTAAAGCTTGTACTTGTCGAGTTCCTCTGGCGACATGTGAAGAACCAGAACGCAGAAATGTCTCTGTTTTTCGGCAGAATCGTACAAGTAGATGCCCAGGTAGCTCTGGGACGGCGTTTCGGGCCGCTGCAGGACGAGCCGGATGCATACGGGGAGATATCGCCAGGCCATGATAAGAAGGTGTAGGTGATAGATAGCGGGTATGTGCCGGACCGGGTTGGAGGTGGAGTGGGACGATAAGGTGATCGGCGGGTGTTGATTTGAAGGGTTGGGGGATTTTGTGGGATTGTGATTTTGTGTTTTGGTTTTGTGCTTTGGGGATTTTTGTTAGGTGGTTGGAATTAGGGGGTTTGGTTTGGATGGTGGATTTGGTGGGGTACAGATAACCGAGGTAGATGGTGATAATAGATATAGGGAATGAGATATGAGCCGAGGCAGATCTCGGGCGATTAGTCGAGAAATTATTGAAATGCAATGTGTTGGTTGAGAAATTAACGAAATGAAATGTGTTGGTTGAGTCGATGGAATGTGTGGATTGACTCTGTCAATGGTTCGGCATTGGGCTGCCGTCTTGATGCAATCCTCTATTTTTCTATTTAACAAGTTTTGTGAAAAGGCAGCCACTGGTGATTTAGTGGCAATGTCCGAGAACTGAGCCTTTTGTTGACGAGAAAGGGGCTTCATGACCCACACTTCCGAGTGTGCAACAGATGGCCATTGCAGATGGCCATTGCAAGTACTCCGATTTGAAGAACATCGCCGTGAAACCTTCATTGCAATTCGCTGCACAATTCTCTAAAAATGCTTTGCTTTCTTTCAATTGCTTCCATCAGAGGCAAACGCCTTTTGAAGCCGTTATTTGTACTTCGAAAGCCTAGTTCCTCGTGGCAAACGGAAACCGCCGGTGGATGCGCTGCACGATCTCCAAGTAGTGGGGCTCCGTCTCGGGCGTGATCACGCCGTGTCTGATCAAAAAGTCGATAATCACCAACGTACAGTTGGGCTTGAACTCACCAGCCTTCATCCGGTCCAGCACCTCGTCCAAACCCATCAACCTGAAGTCCTCAGCCTCGCCGTCCACAGGCGACGGCTTCTGGTTCTCCGAGTCGAAAACCAAATCGTAAATATACTCGACTTCCGGCTGGGCGTGGCCTCCAGGGCCATACGGTAGGCACAAGTACGACACAACTCCAGCGGAAGAGATCCTCAGTTCCACGAATTCACGCTCCAAGCCGCCCTCCTCGTAGCACTCCTTGACGACATTTTCCCAAAGTCCCAACGGATGCGCCACGCCGCCCGCTATGGTGTTGTCTAGTTTGCCTGGATACGTCGCCTTGGTCTGGGATCTCCTCGGAACCCACATTTTGACTCCCTCCGCAGTTTTCACAATTCCATTGATGTGGACGCCGTACGTGACGACCCCTAGAATGCCCGAAAACGCCCTTTCAACAAGAAAGTACGGTTTTGTAGACGGATTGTAGACCACGTAGAGCTCGTCACGCCAGCCTTTTGCCACAATTGGGTCCTTCTGGCGCCACGTCTGGGCCATTTCAGCCACAGCGTCGTTTCTCTTTTCAAAAGTATCGAGCGAAGGCGACATCCCCACGGTCTTTGCCGTGTGATCCACGGTCAAATACTGGTTTTCAAGATTTTCCACAGCATGGGGCGCCACGTTTCCCAAAGGCAGGCCCTCGTGGCCGAGAAGCGTGTAGTAGTCCGTCGGAGTGTACGGGAAGGCGTCCACGGCCGCCACGAGCGGTAGCAACAGCATGTAGTTGGAGGAAGAAAGTGTTGATAATGGAATAGCCGGAGTGCGCACCGAGATTTGGTAGGGTGGGGACGGCCAGATGTTTCGGAGGTGGGGGTTTTTGGGGGGAAAGTGTTTTCTGTTTTAGTTTGAAGGTAGTCGATTTGAGGAATTGATTTGGAGGGATCAAGTGTTTGTGTGTTGTGGGCTTGAGAGGTATTGTGATCCATTGTGCGAATGAGTGGACCACAATGGTTGATATCGGTGGATGTTGAAATGCATTTCCAGAAAAATAATGACTATTATGGATTTTGTATGTTTTTAAGAGGAATTAAGGATGCAGAAGGACGTTTAATTAGAAGTTTGCTCCATTTTCGTTCTCTATCTATCCCCTTCACTACCCTGTTTGCAGCCAAAATGTCGTCATCGTGAATCGCCAAAGCTACAATTAGCCATACAGCAGAAAAGGAATTCCAAGCCATTGACACCAGTTGAGGTCAATTAAAGTAGAAAGACATTCTCCCTGACGTTAGTGACGTTTGACCAAAGTAGCACCAATCTCTGTTCCCTGACTATATAGCCTTGATCGAATGAAAGCAACAATCAAACAACTTGGGATGAATTATCGTGACTCCTCGTTACTTACAAAAGCCTTCAGAGTAGACGATGCTAATTTTGCTAATTTTGCAAGATCGCCAAAACGGCAGGGTATATGGTTTTGTACACTAAGTAGGTGACAAAGGATGGTCTAGGGACTCAAAGTAAATGGCATAAGCTTCACAGACATGGTTGCATAAATGCTGATTAATGAAGCAGAGAAATACCCGAATTAAAATACAATCGTTTTTGATCATCCGCTTACGACTCATTTATTTCCTTTTCGATCATCGGCTTACTCCGGTTGAAAACACTCCTGGTCTGTCTAACTAACTGTACTCAATGTGATCGTTCACCATATAATTGTACTCCATGTGATCTTCCATAGTATGATTGAAAGTAAGATCAGAGCTCAAATATTCAACAGTTGCCTCGTCTTCTTCTGATTCCTATTTCACCATAATTTACCCATCACCATAACACGCCAACCACCTCAACTCCCAAACCACTCAAATCCACCTACCAGAACCACCAACACACCCACTCACCTACACCCACCTCATACTAATACAATTAATTCAGCCTGACTGGCCCTAATATACATTCTATCGCTAGTCTCCCCGTGGCAAATTCTGCGCTAGCGTATTCACCACATTCGTCTCCGCCAACGACGTCTGGTGACCCTCCTGGGCCTCAGGATCCGTGTCCACCCGGGACACCTCCACAAACGACAGATACAACCCCGTAAGCTCAAGGAGATCCGTAATCAGGTCGGGACGCAAGTCGTAGATGAGCTGCTGGAACGAGTGCAGCTTGAGTAAGCGAATGGACAACTTGTTGTCCGCAAGGAAATGAAGAAGGTGCTTGTGGAACTTTCCAGCGGAGTATGGAGCATTGTCGAAGTTGGGCAGAATGTACCGCCTTCCATACTGCACTGGGCTGCCCAGAGCGGTGTTTCTAGCAAGCTGGCTCTGGTTCTGGGTATGATTTTGGCCCTGGTGGCTATTATTCATTAATCTCTCGTCCACATTGACGCCGCTAATCGAGTTTATTCTGCTCAGGCCCTGGCTGTTGCTTGTAGGTACACTGCCCACACCTTGAACTCCATTCATGGGTCCTGTTCTTCTGTATTTCGTCGGCTTGGGTTGTGGCATATCGTCGTTCTCCAAGCTCTGGTTCTGCAACGAGTGCTGAAGCATGTTGCCCAACTGCGGATTGCTCATGCTCTGGTTACTCAGCGCCAGACCCTGGTTGTTCTGGTTCTGGTTCTGGTAGTTCTTGTAGTTCGGCATCAGAAGCCCGCTGGGACTGTAGGTGATGCCGTTGCCGTCCACAGGCACGGACCGCAGCGTGTTGATCAGGTCTCGCAGAAGCTTGTGTGTTTTCAAGTGTTCACTGAGCTTTTTAGGCAGCCCTTTATCGGAAGGCTGTCTGGTGATGATTTTGCCACAGTAGTCACACACAGCGACGTTGGGGTCACGCAGATCCTGGACAAACCACGTCCACACCCACAGCTTCTTCTTGGCCCCGAACTTCTGCCCTGGTCTGTTCTTTCTTTCTCGTTTGGAGAGTTTGTCATCGTCAAGCTCAGGATCGGTGTTTTTGTCTGCCTTGGCCCCGTCCTGGCTTTCTGTGGGCAGGCTCTCTGAATTTGCCGTCTGCGTATTTGGCTGGTTGGCGCCTGGAGCACTGGAGTTCTGACCGGTCTGGAGCTGCTGTGGAAGGTGGTTTCTGTACTGTTGGTGAAGCTGGGGCACGGAGCCCGAAAGCGTATTCAATCCGTTCATGTTCCGCTGGAGCCCCTGCTGGGGGTACGACGGAAACGCCAAATGAGCGTTGGAGGTGTTATAGTAGCTCATTCGGTGGGGGTGTTTGTTTATGAGTAGTTGGAGAACCGGGGGTAGGGACCGGTAGTGGTGTTGATAGTGACCGGAAGTGGGCGACCCGGTCACGTGACTGGAGTATCAACGGTTGCTTCGTATAGCGGGAGGCCCGACCTTTTCACATGGAATTTTCAGGTTCCACTACTTTTTGGAATGAGAAGGATTCTTTGTGTTTTTTTTTTAATATCATTTCCATGATTTGTCTATTTACTCGACGGTTTGTGAAAGTGCGGCTACCGGGATGCTCGGTTGCAAAAGGTACTGTACCGGGGGCAGCCCCGTGTTAGTCAAGGAGGGGTGTAGACGATGGCGGTGAAAAATTGCAAAATTGCAATTTTAAAAAGGGAGGAAAAAAAAGCTCAGCCAAATCTAATGAGAATTGACATGTAAAATATGAAGAGAATATTGGCAACTACTGGCCTTCGAAATACCCACGGATCTTGCAGAAGGTGGAAAGTAAGGGTCCACAGTGGCTCAACCAGGGTGATTACATAGTAAAACACGACGTGGCTGTTTTTTGTTGATTTCAACAAATTGACAATGGAGCGAGAAACGAGGCGGTGACTTACAGCAATGCGATGAGGAAGTGGTGTTTCCAGGTTTCATCACCTTTTTCAGGTTTCATCATCATGAGTAATGTAACATCACAGAGATTGAGTGCTTTTAGTCAAACTATTCAACTGTCGAAGCTCATCATAGTTCCCCTATTTCTCTCAAAAGTCTATCGAGCTCAATTGGCGAAGAATGAGAATCCTTTCCCAACCCGCTCTTCAGAACCCTCTTGATCTCCTCGACCCCCATTCAACCTGCTCCACCTCAATGGGGAACTTTTTGATCTCCACGCCGCAGACTCGGATCTGGCTGAAAGCTGACTCGAGATCACTTTTGGTCCTGGCTTGCGTGATTTCTGGCTGATCTGGCCTCGGCATTGCTTGGTACAATGGACCTCGAGGTCTTGGCTCGATGGTTGCGAAATCAAAAGTGAAGCAAAAGCCGAGCGCCAGCACCGGCAGTTTAGTGATTGGGTTTTTGGAAAATAAAAATAGGGGGTTTTAAAAATGCTGGTGTGCTTGCGCTGGTTGCAAAGTGGTTGTTGAAGATGGTGTGGTACATATTGACATCACCACACTAGGACGATACCACCACATGGAAGGTAATGGCCAACCGTTTCAATACCAATGCCAGCAACATCAACTGAATTATCACCTAAATAGGTCACTTTGTAGAAAACATAATCCAACACTATATGCGTTCGTTACTTGGATACCCTACTTGGCTTTAGACTTGAAGGTATAGCTACTTTTCTCATTTACTCAATTCTGTAACTCAACTTCATAATGTAAAGCGATTCCGGCCTCCAACCTGGAGATACGCTGGATCATACCGAAGGAACAGCACCTTGGCAAGTGATCCAGCACGCTGCCACGATAAGGCAACCCAAGCCTTCAACAATGAGAGCGAAGATTCGTGAAGAACAACGAAGAACAAGGAAGCCTCGTGCTGGCTGTGGGTTGCAATTTCCGCAATCTCGTGAAGCATTCTTGTGAGGCTCAATTGAGTTTTCGGTCGAAGCAAGCACTATGACAAGCAGTATGGTGAGGCTCAAGGAGAAAAGTAGCCATCAAGCCTCGACGGGCACCACACATAATTGGCATTTATCAAAAAAGCCTTTGATGAAGAAAAACAAATCTGTGGTGGCCTTGATGTCACTTTGCGTGATTTACATCCATGTCGTTCCTCACAGTACTTCTGCTACCTCCTACACCTACATCTTTTCCACCGTTGACCCCTCTTTTTACAAACCTCTTCTTACAAACCTCTTTTCACAAACCTTCCCTCCTAAGCCTGGACATTCCAGAACTCCTTAGTAACAATCCGTCAATATCATTGCTAACCAGCTCTTCCACCTCGAGGGTGCGGCTGAGGCAACTTTATAGAATGTGACGTTCCGAAGGAAACATGTGCTCACGCAATGTGACGTTACGGAATGCCGCCGAAAGAATCTAAAACGCTGGACTACTCGCTGGATAAAGTAATAGGCGAGATTCGTACCTTGCCTAATTCTCGGTCGACTTGCCTTCTTCGGGCTTTGCTGCCAGCGGTACTGCACACAGGACGCGGGTGTCAGAACACTAAAAGCGCCATTCTCCGGCGCTACCGAGCCGCAGGGTCTCTGCTGCATACTTTTACTACAAGTATCTATTTGGATGCCTGTTACGGGGTTCTTTGCTGGCTGGGCCGCTTCGTTCTGGGAAGCAGCCAGCCTTCGATGCTGCAAGTGGGCTGCACCCACTGCGTTATATACAGTCCACCATCAAAACCCGCATAGCACTTTTTGCAACCATTGCCAGCCTTATAAAGACCAACCCACCCCTCCGAATTCCAGCTCCCATCCACTTTTCCCATAGTTCCCCAAAAAGCAATAACTTATCTCCAGCGCGCCTGAGCGAAGCGAAGTTTCCCAAACCCCACATATCACCCACCCCAGTCCTTCCTTAAAAACTCACCCCAGTCCTTCTTTCAATGCAACTCCACGTTCTTTACTCCCTCGCGTCCCTCCTCACGCTCACTCAGGCGGCTAGAGTCGTCAAGGTGACCAAAACCGTCGACAACACCGTCACAAACACCAATGTCGTGGAAGGTACCGTTTCCACCGTCACCGACTGGCTGACCAACACAAGAACCACCACCACTACCAGGTACACATCGACATACACCCTGACGATTTTCGGCCAGCCCCATACCTACGTTAGTGTGGTGAGCTCCGAGGTGGAAGCCCCTGCTGGAGCGGAAACCCAGGCTCAGGAACCTGCTGAGACTTCTACTCCTCAGGAAACCCAGCCTGAAGAAACCGCCCAGGAAACCCAACCCCAGGAAACCCAGGCTCCCGAAACCTCTGCTGCTCCTTCCACCCAGTCGCCCACGACGCCGGCTCCATCCACATCGACCTCTGATTCGGAGGATTCTGTGGAAACCGCAGACGACGCTTCTGCTTCTGTGGAGCCAGGCTACCTGCTTGACTCTGTTCTGACGGCAGTCAACGATGGTGTGTGTGTGGTGGACTACGAGTACTACGACACCACGTCCACGGAGACGGTGACTTCCACCAGCACCCTCACCTCCACCATCACCGTCTAATTCTATACCCCGTTGTTTTAATGTATGTTTATGAAGAAGGTTGTAGCAGTACTGGAGTGATGAAAATAGGCGATTGTTTATTACTAGGCGATTGTTTAGTTGTAGTAGGCTACCGAGAGTTATGTAGTAGACTAAGTATGGAAGGAATGCAAAAGCCTAAGTGTACTGCGGAGGCTAACTATACTGAGAAAGCTAAGTATACCGAGAAGGCTAACTTTAGTAGGAAGGTTATTTTCAGGCACACGGAACAAATTGACATAATCATTTGACTAAGTTTCTAAGTGAGCTTTGAAGTGAGCTTTTTCGGCTTTTCAACTGAATGCCTCAGTTCGTGGGTTTGGGCATTAGCTTCCATAGTTAGTACTAAGACTTGTGAGATGAGACCCACTTTTGTCGATCCTGGCTTTTTGTAATTATACCAAGGTAACCTCAAGAGATTTGCTAGTATTTTCACGATGATGATATTGCATTTTTTGTGTTCATCACCATTTTGCTAGTTTGTGGGTGTATGCTGATTTCTCATTGTACTACCAATCTTCAACTGTACCAGCCTTTTCATCTTCCACAATATGAGAGGCGAAAAAGGTGATTTATCATATTCCATGCTGCCTCTCTGTTTTAAAATTGCCAGAAAGACGTATTTTTCTTTCATCTACACTGTGAACTCACTACACCTTTTCACTGTAGAAGTACCACTGGCATGCACCACATTCTCCATCTTCATGGACCACACCTGTTTACCTAATTTTCTTTACCTTTTATCATAAAAGCATTCATTTAAAAAATCTTATTAAAAACCTCTGCCTACTTCCATGAGATAGCACCCACTGGAGGACGGCAATAAACCTAGGGCTCAAACCCTAACGGTGCGCACTACCTCAGTAGAGAGCGTCCTGCACACACCCGGCCCTCCAACACCTCCACTGCTCGCGCTAACTACACTCTGAAAAAACTAGAAAATTTTTCTACCTTTCATACACCTACAACTCTAGTCACAATGGGTATGTTCAAAACACACCAAACGAAGGAGCTGAGCCCACCATGATCATCCACTCGTCATTCCAATCCGTCCCCTTTTTTCCCCGTCAAAAATACTCCACCGGAGCCCCCAGTCCGTCCATTTAACGATTCATGAAACCATCGAAGTTGACCGTTTCCACCACAAACTCAAAAAGCCCCCGTCCACCGGCTCTCCTTAAAACCTCCCGTCCATTACTAACAACCAGTTAACGTTCCAAAGACCAGAAAGACCTACTGCAAGGGTAAGGACTGCAAGAAGCACACCCAGCACAAGGTCACCCAGTACAAGGCCGGTAAGGCTTCCTTGTTCGCCCAGGGTAAGAGAAGATACGACCGTAAGCAGTCCGGTTACGGTGGTCAGACCAAGCCCGTTTTCCACAAGAAGGCCAAGACCACCAAGAAGGTTGTCTTGAGATTGGAGTGTGTTGTTTGCAAGACCAAGGCCCAGTTGGCTTTGAAGAGATGTAAGCACTTCGAGTTGGGTGGTGACAAGAAGCAGAAGGGCCAGGCCTTGCAGTTCTAAGCGGCCGCTGGCTTTTTTGTACTTTACGAAGACTCATAATATAGTTATTCTTGAGATGCTTGTAGGTGCCGGGAGGTACATGTAGGTGATGGGGTTTGATGAGGCAGTGATGAAGGAGGGAATGGTTTGTTGGATTTGTTTCTTGTGTGATTTTGGGGGTTTACTTGAAGGTTGACATAGTGCTATGGAGGTTCATTGATTCTAGGTCCAGTGTGTGATTCAAATGATGTAAAGGAGTGATTTAAATCCTTTCAATGATGCTTTTAAATGCTTCCAAAGATTGATATCTATCGAAAGGTGCTTTTTTATCACTTCCGAGACTTATCTGTTTTGAAGCCTCGAATTACCTGGGATCTTGAGTATATATGACTGGTTGCAAGGGTAGGTGGATTGTCGAACCAGTTCACTATCATAGTGCCAAAGTCGTTTATGAATGAGGAGTACCTTACAAATCACCGTTGGAAGTTCGATCTAATATCAAGAATAGCACTTTCATGTTATTGGCCCACTAACGTCGGAACCACTGTTCATCACTTAGTGCCATATATCCACACTGAAGATTTTCAACAGACTTTCGTCAAACTACATAAAAGTTCACCAATGTCCCTAAAAATGACTCTTTTAACTTTTTGACTATCAAAAGCCTGGTTGTAATCTTGCTAGCTAAGTGTACCAATAGTGGTCTAGAGTACCCTCCACTTTCCATCAAACCACAATGCACATCATCTCTTTCTAATCCACAAAATTTCCAAAATCTTCAAAAACCTCCCTCCCTTTCACCCAATCCTAGCTCGTCAAATACAAATGTCGTCACCGCCACAAGCCCCACCCATCGTCTCGGCACGCTTTGTCCATACCCTAAACAGTAACGATATTACATCCACAATGGGCAATATGTCGATGCCCTACTGCCTGGAAAAGCCCAAATTTCCCAAACTCTAACATTTATATTCAATCAGAGAGATTTTTGAAAGATCTGCAAAAACCTGAAAAACTCCGGACCAATCGTCGTCTCCCAATTAGGCGTTTTTTACGGTCCCTCTTGGATCAACCACTATCTGTGCGCACGGTTTGATACCGCGTTCAGGCACGGTAGACGAAAGCCAGTATAGGCTTCGTTTTACGGAACATCCAATGATAATAAGTTGTAATTCGTAAAATTCAGAACCTCTTTTCCACGAAGTCGGCTTTTTTGGGGAACTCCGGCCGCCGTTTCCCCTATTTTCGACTGTGGTGTACGGGTGTCGTTTCCATCAGCCACGACGAGACTGAGAATGTTTTCAAACACAGCACTGATAGACACACCCAGATCCATAGAATTTCCGGTTTGGACATATTTTTCAGATTCAAAGCACGTTTTTGCAGCATAGGTGGCTCAGGTATTTCAAATCATCCCTTCTGCCATCCGGATCACGCAGATCATCTTCTCCTCAGCAACACACGCTTCTGAAAAACACCAAATCCAGCTCAAAAGTCCGCCAAAAAGCCCCAAAATCCCGTGATTATGAACTACAACTACGACTACATGGGCCAGGTACGGGCAGATCACGCTTCCGGGCGTGGCCAGGGCCAGATCAACCAGGGTCCTTCGTACCAACAACAAACAAACCCCCAAGCCCAGCTACATAGCCAACAGATCCCCAATTTGGCGTTCCAGAATCAGCAGCATCAGGAGTACCACGAGGACTCCTTCATGGATGAGGACACGCTGGCGTTTGTGGACAATACTGCTGCTAGACAAGATGGAGGCTCCAACAGGTACACCCAGTTCTACCAGCAGCCCGTGCTCCAGCAGGCCCAGTACAACGCTTACGGCCAACAGCCTGTGCAGGTGCTGCCAACGTTCTCCAACGGGAACCACTTTGACACGATTCCAGAGAGAAACCTCCAGCTGGTGGACTCTGCATCTCTGGGTGTCTTCCAGCCTCCTGCGGGCATCACAGCATTGAACAACTCGTCCAACACGAACTTGTCGGAGATAAGCGCCTCCAACTCCGTGACCAACTCGCTCAACGACCCGTTGAGCTTTGCCCAAAACAACGCATCGGTGGGAAATTTGGCATCGTCACCTCCAAAACAGAAACTTCAACAGTCGCCAGTGCAGCAGCGTGCTCAGATTCATGTCCAGCAGCCGCCACAGTTGCAACAACCTCAGACTCACTACAGAAAATCCGACACTCCAAGAACTCCTCCTTCTCAGGTTACGCATCTGCCACAAGCTGACCGGGAAAGAAACAAGAACTATGTTTACTTCAACAGAAACCCCGATGTCATGAGCAAAATCACTCAGGACAAGGCGGCTGCCATGAAGCTCAGGCTCGAAAACTACTACCAGATGTCTGTGAGCCATGCGATCGAGAGAAACCAAAGAAGATTGGACTTGGAAAACAAGTTGATGGCTGAGGAAGCAGGACTGAGTGAGGAGAGAAAGAATAGACAATTGCAGAACTTGGGCAAGAAAGAGTCCCAGTTTTTGCGCCTTAGAAGAACCAAGTTATCCTTGGAAGACTTTATCACCGTCAAGGTGATCGGTAAGGGAGCTTTCGGTGAGGTCCGTTTGGTCCAGAAGAAGGATACCGGTAAAATCTACGCCATGAAGACGCTTTTGAAGTCTGAGATGTACAAGAAAGACCAGTTGGCTCACGTCAAGGCTGAAAGAGACGTTTTGGCCGGCAGTGATTCGCCATGGGTTGTGTCGTTGTACTACTCTTTCCAGGACCACGTGAACCTTTACTTGATTATGGAGTTCCTTCCTGGAGGTGATTTGATGACGATGTTGATCCGTTGGCAGATTTTTACCGAGGACATTACTCGTTTCTACATGGCCGAGTGTGTCTTGGCCATTGAGGCGATCCACAAGTTGGGTTTCATCCATCGTGATGTCAAGCCTGACAACATCTTGATTGATAAGCGGGGCCACGTGAAGCTCTCTGATTTTGGTTTGTCCACTGGTTTCCACAAGACCCACGACTCCAAGTATTACAAGAAGCTTTTGGAGAAGGAGGATGCAAAGCACAACTCGATGTTGCAGGTGCCCGGAAAAGCCCAAACGCAGCGCAATTCGATGATGGTGGATGCCATCCATTTGACTATGAGCAACAGACAGCAGATGCAGACCTGGAGAAAGAGCAGAAGACTTATGGCTTACTCCACCGTCGGTACACCAGACTACATTGCACCAGAAATCTTCATCCACCAAGGATACGGACAAGAGTGTGATTGGTGGTCGCTTGGAGCGATTATGTTTGAGTGTCTCATTGGCTGGCCTCCATTCTGTTCTGAGACACCTCACGAGACCTACCGTAAGATTATCAATTGGCAGGAGCTGATGGTGATTCCAGAGGACATTCATCTACTGGCTGAAGCGGAGGACTTGATTCGTCGTCTTTTGACGTCCAGTGACCGTCGTTTGGGACGTCACGGTGGAGCCGAAGAGATCAAGCAGCATCCTTTCTTC